TTCATAAAATGATCACATATACATTTGGCGTATTAAATATATGACTGCATACTTGAATATGAAGTTGTAAAAGAGTGAACTTGTGTTTTCCTCCTTTCCTGTCAGAAGCAGTAATTGATACCTCTAAGAGTAATACAAATAACGAAAAAACTCTAATAAATGTTGTATAGAGTTTGTTTGCATGACATAAACAAAAATGACCAGTTTTCCAGCTTAGATAATACAACGTATCACCTGCGATAAGAGAGGTACAGTGCTAACTGAAACATAAAACATTTTTGTGGAAATAATGCACCAGTGTATCATATTTGCCTATCTTAAACTCAAATGATTGTTGAGGAATCCCTTTCTCCCTACCAGAACCAATCTGATTGTTCTTCACCCTCTTTTTCTTTTTTTTTTTTTAAGATTTTATTTATTTATTTGACAGAGAGAGAGCAAGAGCAGTAACACAAGCAAGCAGAGGGAGAGGGAAACGCAGGCTTCCCTCAGAGCAGGGAGGCCGATGCGGGGCTCGATCCCAGAACCCTGGGATCATGACCTGAGCCAAAGGCAGCTGCTTAACCGTCTGAGCCACCCAGGCGCCCCTCTTCACCCTCTTCTAACTTCATGCAGCTCTAAACTCAAAATTCTGTAACCCTGACTTCAGTGCCTACCTCTGATACCTTCCACCCCTGTAGAGACAGGGGAAAGAACATGAGCTGGAGGTAAAGCCAATGGAATTGGGGATCCAAGTCCACTGACATTTACCAGCCCAAGGTTGTTGGGCAAACCATTTAACCCCTTTGAGCCTCTCTGTTCGCATGTAAAATGAAGGAAATCATCATACAACTCCATAGGATTGTTGGGGCCATTAATGATTTGCAGCAGTGCTTGGAACCTAGGAATAGCTACATTGGTGTCTGTTAAGTAAATCAAGTATTAAACTCATTGCCTTCACATAATAAGCACTCAGGAAATAACTACTGTTCTGTTATTCAGTCACTACACAACTATTTTTGAATGCCAGACCCTATTCTAGGCACTGGGGATGTAGTCATGATCTAAACAGATGAAATTCCTGCATCAAGGAGCTTACATTCTATTAGGGAAGACCATGAATACATATGTGAATATACAGCACGGTCACAGTAAGTCCCATAAGAAAAATAAAGTAGGTTATGGGAGCGGAAAGTGGGTGGGGGTCGGGGCGAGTTTTACAGTAATGTTTTAGGTAGAGAGGTCAGGGAAGGCCTCTCTGAGGATATGACATTAAAGTAGAATTGCTGTTCATATTCCTTTCTTTAGTATTTGCTCTTTGACTTCTCCCTGCACATGTTGGTGGCTTGTCTTCTGTGCCTTGATTTTCCCACACCTCAAACTTTGATTGAGGAAAGAGATGAGTCAGAAAGTTTTTGATCTCTGGCTCCGTGTATTAAGTGAAGGGTTGAATGGTAAAGTCCTGAATTTATCTTTGTTCTGATTAAATATCTTTATCTTGGGAAAGCTTTGCTCCCAAAGGAAGGGTATTGGGGGACAACCTGGTGGTCACACTTTATCTGACCACCGTAATCACCTCTCTAGGTCCATATAAAGCTTAAAACAACAAAAATGTTAATGGCTCTCGTTTATCCAAAACCAGAATGCTAACAAGTAGCAGAGCCAGGATTGAGCTTAGAACCTTCAAAGCATCCACTCTTTCCTGTACCCTTATCTGCCTACAGTGATTGTTACCACTGTTCTCAGTAATAATTCCATATTTAGAAGATACTTTATCTTAGGAGAGTCAGAATACATCGTTTAAATATAATGTGTATATATATTATATTTTTAAGGATTTGATAATGTCTGCTTCAATTAGCATAATACATAATTATGTATTATTCATATCAGGTATTCAGAAAATAAGGGATTTTTAAAATTCACCTTTATTTTCATTCAAATACAGTATTTCCCTAATACATGCCAGGCACTGTTCTAGGTGCCAATACTATAATGCTAGCACCACCCTACTATTTATTGAGCATCTTCTGTTTTTCATGTGTTAGAACATTAAATATTCACAAAGATAGGTATTTTTATCCTTATTTTGTAGATGAGAAAACTGAGACTCAGGGTAATTAGTGAATATCCAAAGTTAAACAGTAAGGGGCGGAGCCAGACACTGGTTCTGTTTATTGCTGAGCTTTACCTGCCTACATCATTCTCCTTCACTGAGAAATGCAAAGATGCAGTCTCAGCTCTCCAGAAGGAAAGCCAAAGATACTATCAGTGTGGGCTGGCAGATCTAATAATTTACATACGCACATTATAAATTTTATTTTATTTAATCCCCACAGTAACCCTCATCAAATGGTGGTGGTGGTGGAATGATGTTAGGCATTATTATTAGTGTTATTAGCTATATGCCTAAATATCTACAAATTCGAGGCAGACTGATCAATGTTACCGATTGTCAAGAGTAGACAAAATGCTGTGGCATCTCACAGGGAGAAGGGGGATTGCTTGTGGTGGGGCCTTAGGGAGTACTTGCAGGCGAGCTTAGCTCAGATTGGGAGAGCTGCTGTTTTACGTGGGCTTGGAAAAGGAAGACCTTCTGTAAAGGCCTCTAACGTTATCACCAGCTGACAGAGGATGTAGCTAAGAGGAATAGCTTGGTTGCATAGGCAGTTGACAGAGCAGGGATTATAATCTGGTCTGCTTTACCCTTCACTTGGAGATCTGACCCTTGTTTAGAACAGCATACTAGGAAAGTCTCATTGACCTTTTGATATCTCTTTGTGAACAAAGCTAAGTCCTTGATTCTTTTGGACTCTGGAAACAAAGTGCATAAGGTTAAAGGGGAAAGAGAAGTAACAAAAGATGAGGGTCAGCCAGATCAGCCACTCCATAAGAGGCTAAAGATCCTGTTTGTGCCACTGACCTTCTGTGTTATCTGTAGAATGATGTACAGACCAGTGTTTCTCAAATATTTGCATACATCTGAATCACCTGGAGGGCTTCTTAAAACAAATTTCTAGACCCCCACCCCCAGGGTCTCTGATTCAGTAGCTCTGGGATGGAACCCAGGAACTTACACCTGGTAAGTTCCCAAGTGATGCTGATGCTGCTGTGTCAAGGACCAAACTTGAGAATCACTGATCTCCTCTCTGAGATCTTGTTTCCTCTCTAATGCTCTATTTAAAAAGTGATCACATCGAAATCAGGAGCTCTGGACCATATAGGGTCACTTCCTAAGTATGCTACCTTGAGCAGGTCACTTAACCTTTCTCTGCCTGTTTCTTCATCAGTAAAGCGGGGGGCTCACAATTCCTATGGCACTGGATGAAGGAAAGAATCAACTCTCTCATTTAAAAGAAACACCTTGGGGTGCCTGGGTGGCTCAGTCGGTTAAAGTGTCTGCCTTCAGCTCAGGTCATGATCCCAGGGGTCCTGGGACCGAGCCTCACATCAGGCTTCATCCTTTTAAAAAACTTAAAGAAAAGAAACCCCTTGGGACGCCTGGGTGGCTCAGTTGGTTGAGCATCCAACTCTTGATTTTGGCTCAGCTCATGATCTTGGGGTCATGAGATGGAGCACTGCATCGGGATCCACATACTCAGTGTGGAGTCTGCTTGAGATTCTCTCCCTCTCCCTCTGCCCCTCCCCGTGCTCACACTCTATAAATAAATAAATAAATAAACAAACAAAAATCTTTAAAAAAAAAAAGAAACCCATTATGAAAAGAATACTATATAACTTGTCAGTTGTGTAGCCAGGATATGGAAGCAACCTGAGTGTCTATGGATAAGGAAGATGTGGTGTACGTACACACACACACACACACGCACGCACGCACGCACACAATGAAATATTACATAGCCATAAAAAAGGATGAGATCTTGCCATTTGCGACATGAATGGACTTAGGGGTATTATGCTAAGTGAAGTAAGTCAGACAGAGGAAAACAATACCATATGATTTTACTCAGGTGGAATGTAAAAAAAAAAATGAATAAACAAAAAGCAGAATCAGACTATAAATACCAAGAACAAACTGATGGTTGCCAGAGGGAAGGGAGGTGAGGGGATGGGCAAAACGGGCAAAGGGGAGTGAGAGATAACAGGCCTTCAGTTATGGAATGAGTGAGTCAGGGAATAAAAGGCACAACATAGGGAAGGTGGTCAGTGGTACTGTAATGGCGTTGTGTGGTGACAGATTGTAGCTACACTTGTGGGGAGCAGAGCATAACTCGAGAGAGGTTGAGTCACTGTGTTGTATACCTGAAACTAATGGTAACATTGTCAACTAAAATATAAAGTTGTAATAAAAAATAAATAATTTGCGATTTGTACATATCCATGTTTGAAGTGAAGATTCTGCTTTGATAGAATCCTTAAGGAAACTGCAGTCTACATTTCAAGGGAAAAAACAATAGAAAATGACTCGTTTCTATAAAGAAAAGGAAGCTTGGTGCAAGAGGAAGTATACCCAGGGAGAATGTACTTAAAATCCAAATGACCCATGAGGGACCCCATCTTATTTGGCAGATAAAAGTTTCCCTGCTATCTATTTAACAAATTAATAAAAAAGAACATAAATAAAGGGGAATAATAACTTAGAGCTATCTGGGCACCTGAGTCTTTGAGCCCTTTAGGGCCTTGGCACCTAAAGAGAAGGGAAAAAAGGATCCCTGTCTCTGAGGCTTTGAAAGTGGCTTTCCTTGAGGCATTGGGGAAGCTCTGGGGGCACTAAGAACTGAAGGGCTGAGATGCCCGGGGCATGAGTCTGTTTGATCCAATAAAGAGCCAGAAAAAAAAATGGCTGGTAAGTAATTTTGCTATTTCATTTGGTGCAAAAGAGAAGGCAAAACACAAGAATATTCAATGAGCCAAACAAAGTACAAAATGCAGCATGAGTGTGAATGCAGACTGACCCTTTCCCAGGGACATTTCTAAGCCTGAATGAAGCACTCACTGCCTAGGCTAATGTACAATAGCATGCATTTTAAACTATGGTGACCCTTTTGTTTTTCTGATAGGCGAAGATGAAGACGAATTTGAGAATTTCATGCTGCCTCTTACAGTCTCTTTTGAAACAGTATTACAAATATTCAACAACAACTTTAAACAAGAAGATGTAAAGGTGGGTTTGTTCCTAAATATGATGAAAGATGATTTTGCTCATGCTGGGATATCTAGATCCACAAAAAGGTTTCTGCATATTTGTATGTGCTCTGTGCCTCATCAGTCTTGCTTCCTCAGTTGCATGTGTCTTTGAGTTGTACTTTTCGTGTGAGTACTTCTTTAGTTTCTTGTACAAATTGACTTTGAGGTCAGCGAGTGATTTTGGGCAGTTTATGATTAGATGATTTGTCTCTTGTGGCAGTATCTTTAAAAGAACACTTCTCATGGGTACACCACTTTAAGCATCTCTCTTCCCTCATGTACCCTGCACTGTATGCCTCAATGTATTTATAGGGAGGGATGCACACATACTCATGCTAAAACACTACATCTCTAAATATTTTTTTAAACAAGAGTTTATATAAATCAAGACATTATTAAATGGCTAGGCATATATGTATAAATAGGAGCTGGTCTTGAAGTATTGCATTCTTAAACTGAACAAAGTGATTAGGATAACTGATAGCTAAATAAGGTTTTTATGTGCCTGTGGGAGCCGTATTAGGATTGATTTGACAAGTCAGTTCAGCTGTGGCAACAGTCATAATATCTAAGACAACATTATGTTTTATTAGTAAAATCCTTAAGTGTAGCAAGCTGTTTGTGACAAAACAGTCCCATATTTTAATGTGGGGGGTGAGGAACGCAAGATCTGCAAAATAGGAATAGCATCTTCTGAAATCATAATGTATCTGGGCTATATTAAATAGATTAACACTGATTATTATTTTTAAAAGACTAATAAATGTACTCTAGAGGATGCAAGCACCTTTGTTAGTGATGCTCAAGTCATATTTTATCATTATTTGGAGTAAGTCAAAAACATTAACCATCATTTTGCATGGCCTGTCCTCTCTCTAAAAAATATATACATATATGCTTGCAGTAAGAAGCCAGATAGTAAAACAGTGGCCTTTGATGATTATTTTAGGGAAATTCTTCTACCAGAAAATAATTAGCCAAATGCGATACCTTTTGAAATAGTTTTTGAAATGAATGTTTATCAACATGCAGTAGTCATAGAATTTTAAAACCAAAAAGGATCTTAGAGATTTTCTCTGTGTTCATCATCTTGTGAAAACTCCTCACCAGAGTTTCTACTCAGGTTAGCTGTATTTTTTAGATGTCTTCCAAATATTTTGAGGGACCAACAAAAGCTTTGCAGCTTTAAGGTGGCTCTCCGTGCCCTTTTATATCAGAAAGAAGCAGTGAGGTTGAAAAACACCATCTTGATAAAAATTACATTTATCTCATTTGAAGATTTCATTATACTCCAAGTCCATTTTGATGTAATCCCATCTAGTTTGATAGAAACCATCTTCCTAGAGTCATTTTTAATGGAGTTCCAGTGATATATCCCTAAACCAGCAAGTTCTTAATGACCCTGGAAAGTGACTGCTTGATTACACTTTAACGGTATTTGCAAATAAAATCACAAGTAATTAAGGGGAAATCTCCAGGCTTTTGAGCAAGTTTGATGCATGATAACTGCCTGATTCAGCTTCATCTAGAGTAATGCTGTGTAGGCAACAGCTACTGAGATCAATAGCAACGTAATGATAGTGGCAGAATTAAGTGAGTAACCTGAGAACTGTGCCTCAGAATGCATGCAGCTGCCGCGAACCAAGGCCACACAGTGCACTCCGTGCTTCCGTCCTAAATGTTCATCAAAAGACGCCCTGCAGGAAAATGGAGTTAGATGCTCTTTATTGCTGATCGTGTCTCTTGCCACATTTATCAGGGAAATTGGATTAGCAGTTGGCAGCTGCAGGTAGACAAGATTCTGCAGTGATTAAATATGCAGCTTGGCTGCATTTGTTGTGACAGACCTTTAGTAAATTCTACTGTAAGCACCATCTGTCTAATTTGTATAAAGAAAACTTGGTGCTTTAAGCTACCGATAAAGAACTAAATCTGTTGCTTTATCATAAACAAAACTTTTGCACTAAATGCTTTTAAATGTAATTTATTAGGTTAAGCCTATTTTTCTATCATGATGAATAAATAATACATGCAAAAGTGCTTTCAGGTACTTCATTTTGCAAGTACTAGAGATAAAAACAGTTCTGTTTTGTTCTTCAATAAAGTATTTAGTATTCCAATCCACAGGAGGTGATGCTGTTAAAATATCTCTATGAAAATGCCGCAGGACTGCCAAATTCATTTAATTTGCAACCCTTACCAGCATTTTCTAGCTCCCTATTTATAGATATTTTTCAAATGCGGGTTTTAGGATGAACATAAGCATCAAGGACCTATGTTGCCAAATTGAAATATGGTTGTGAGGGGAGGAAATGCTGCAAAACTCTTAAATTTATAGCTTTGTTTTCTTACTTAGTCCTAATAAAATTGAAGAGAACATTGAATTTTTGTCTTGGGTTTTTCTCTCCATAGTAAAGGGAAAAAGAAAGCAAATGCTGTGACAAATCCTGGCTCCAAAGCATTAGTTCAAAATATATGTGTTCCCCCTATAATTGTATCCACAGTAAAATATAGTCCACACTCCCTTGACTCATGCATCATTTTTGATTTGGCCATGACGTCATCGAGTTTAAGGAAAATGAATGAAAACTTCTCGGAGGAAGAGGAGCAGTTAAATAGGAACCTGCTATCTTTAGTCCCTTCGTAAAAACTCCACAATGTTAAATTATTTAAAATCCTTGATTTTCAGCATGCGCACATTAAAAGTTTTCGCACTAAGTGCCAAATGTTGCAAACAGCACTTTAACAGAATGATTTTGCTTTGATCCCTGTAGCAGTTCCTGAATAATTTATCACAGGTTATTGCCTTAATTCTGGAGAGGGATAGAGCAATAAAGGCAGATGAAAACACTCCAGTTGAAACACCTTGGGGCCTGCTCATTCCTCTGACACGGCTCTTTTGTTGGAACTATTTAGAGGTTATTAAGATGTGTCTCCAGAATTAAGAGTATGCTGTAAGGATGAAGACAGCCATCTTAATTCTAAAGACAAAGCACAATGACCCTTCACCTTCTTTTTCTTTGTTGTTATTATATAGTAGAATTATGAGGATAATATTATAGCTGCCCCCAGTAGTACCACTACAGTAAAGGGTCTGTCAGACTTCCCATTAGAAACCCTGTTTTGGGGGTCAGGGTGGAAGGAGCCGCATTTCAGCTGTTTCCCGGCCCATTCGTCTCACACTTTGGCACACAGACAACTGTTCACCGTGCAGCGTGCTGAAGCACTGAGCGGTTTCTCCTCGAACTATCCAGAAGGAATCCTTAAGATCAGATACCCCTGACCTACCCGGCTCCCCAAACCAGCCTCACTAAAGACATAGGATCAATCAAGTGTGAACCAACTGTAGGAGAAGGGCAACTTTTGAAATAAACCCCTTTGTACTATTTTAAATGAGATGGTGAACCGAGGCTCTTCCTTCCCTAAATTTCAGTCAGAACGCCTCTTGCTCTCTGAGAATGCTTAGTAGTCCAGTTGAACTTCTAGGTAACAGTCGGCCTGTCTCATAGCAGAGCTGGGTACATTTTGGCTACCAAGAAAGTACTCCCATAGTGTTGAGTATCTGTATAGACTGTTACAGTACTCTTGCTGACGTAAGATACAAGATATTGTTTGAGCATAAGAAATCTGTTTCTTATTCACGTGAACACTGCATTTTCCTGTCCAGTTGAATCTATTGAAAACATACAATTAGTTCCTATATTGTTATATGCTTCCTCTGCTCTGTAGTAACATTTTCTAAAAGTAAACGTTGATATAATTTCATAGATTTGAGTCACTTAGAGCACTTTTATTAACTTGGCATCTTTTAAAGAAGAAAAATTTGTGAAAAAGTAAATGTTAACCTTTTTGTGTAATGAAGATGGTCTAAAGATATTTTAAGAGCCCTTTGCACTAGGCATGAAGAAAGTGAAACTCCTGGTTCCTATTGACCAGTTTAGAGCTGAATGTGGGTGCCTTATGTATATGTGAAAACTTAATGTTATTTGAAGCATAACCTGTAACCTGTAAGTATACATAATAAACATAGAAATGCCCACTGTCAGAGAAAGACTGCAGAGCTACGTACTCAGAATAGGATTGTTCCAAGAAGGCTTCTTAGAAGATGTGTTTTGTTCTGGAGGCTGTGAGAAACGTGGAAAGCTACAAAAGAGGGGAACAGGTTCCGGGTGGTGAAAATAGGTTGCATAAAAGGCAAAATGGCTTTTTTTAAAAAATAGCAAGTCACATGAGAGAACTGTAAGGAGGTGAGCCGGTTCTAGACTAACAAGAACTAGTGAGATTATGAGAGGAAAAAGAATGAGTCATTTAAAGAAACAGAAACAGATTCAGGGTTTACAGACTCAAATTCAGATTACCATCACTTTAGAAACGGTTAGGCGGTTAGAAACTAAATATTTTATAAACGACTTCTGGTTATATCGAGTCACCTTTTAGGTACAGGGTTGGGGGACGATCAGAAATTGCAGGTACTTCTGACAGATAAACGGTTATTTTACTTTGAGATGTTATTTAGCCATTAAGATGAGGCTTATGATTCACTTCCAAGTCCTTGATGATCATTTAAAGGCCTTCCTATAAAGAGGTTTTCATTTCTTAACCAATGTGTGAGGAAAAAGAAAATCTGGTAAAAAGAAAACTTGAGAGCCATTTCCTGGCAGAATCTTCCTACTGAAACAGTATCTTCAGAAACCACAGTTGCATATCTCAATTATCCCACCCCCTTGTTTTGCAATTCTGTTTATTTGTGCTCTTTGTTCTGACGTTCTAGCATCTGTTCCTGGGTTTTCTTTTTCTCTTCCCAAGCATCATCCTAAGGACAGCTTAATTAAGAGTCCGTAGTACAAATCAGATCTCTTTTATTTAAGAGTCAAGTGGTTTTTTTCTGTCTCTCTGAAACTAAAGATTTATGGAACATTTAGTACGTGTCAGGCTCTTGTTAGGCGTTCTTACATAAATTTATTAAATTTATTCCTCACAATGCCTCTGTGAAAGAGGCAATAGTAGCCCCTTTTATAGATGAGAAAACTGAGACTGTACATTGTTGCCTTGCCTTAAGTCTTACAGTCAAGCAACAGAGCTGGGACTCAAATTCAAGGCTTCTAATAACCAATACAGATCTCTTTTCCTTACACCTTTTCCTTTTCCTTGCTTGGGGATTGTGAATGCCCTTCTCGGAATGTCATGGTAGCAATAGGTCACCTGGCCAGTTTTATTTTGTCCTCGGTGACTAGAGATATTCTTTCAGGATCTTTAAATGCCAGTGTGCTTCCAGGATAGACTCTAGGTTGCATAGTGGACTGACTGCATGCAAGCCGGTGTGGTTAAGATTTGCTATTATTAAATAACGTCTAGACCCTGTGCATCTCTGTTCTGTGGAATTATCAATCCTCATCTCCCCCCCCCTTTTTTTTTTCTAATTTGGCATTATTCAGAAACAAAGTATATTAAGAATCCAAATGTTCCTAAACTACTGGAATCATGACTTAGCTCAATTTATAAGAAGCAAAGTCGAGTTGGTCAGCAGATTTGATGGTCTGTTTGTTTAAAAGGGTCTACGGTTTTCTATAGAAAGGGATCTGAGCGAGACATTTTAGCTAATGAATCAAAATCAGATATGTGGTCATTATTGCCTGATTATTACTCCATCTGCTCTGTGCTAACGTGAAAATCAATTACTGTGTCTCTTTCCCACTGACAGCGTATGTTGATCGGGCTGGCAAGAGATCTTCGAGGGATTGCCTTTGCACTGAACACAAAGACCAGCTACACCATGCTGTTTGACTGGATGTATCCTTATTACACTGTGACAATACCAGCTCTGTGCACAGAGGGATGCCAGGCCCCTCGCTTTCGTTTAATAGTATGGCACAGTAGGGAAGAGGAAACAAAGCTAAATGAACTAATGTGTAATCAGCTAAAAATTACAGCACAGTGGCAGCAGTGCAGATAACTGAGCACAGCATTTGGAGACCCAGCTCAGAGAGGTCACTTTTTGGTGCCATTAAATATTGACAACTTAAAAATCACATCCCCAAATGATTGTTTATATAGGGATTGCAGGGATAATCAGGCTAACATCTTTAACTCAGGATCAATGAATCTTACCATTTGACATTTTTCGAGGAGATTTGAATTTCTACTCCATCTCAATTAGGAGGGCTGAGAAGGTTACTTTATCTCTCAGAGGCTTAATTTGTCATGCTACAGTTTTTCGCCATCATGAAAATATTAATGGACATGAAGAAGGGGGAAATAAATGGTCAGGATTTTTCATTTGGTATAAAATCTGAATTTTCCTTTGCCAAGGCTTAGTACAGAGAACGGCATCAATAAACAAAGAAACAAACAAACATCTCCCACAGAAATACCTCTTCACATAAGAGTGAGACGAGTGTGGACTTTGGTGTCAGACCAGGTTTGAAATCCAGCTCTCCACTTGCCGTGTAAACCTTGGCAAGTCATTTCACCTCTCTGAGTCTTGGTTTTCTCATCTAGAAAAGGAGACATCCAGTATCATAGCTCACTCTGACCCTTAAAATAGGTAGCACACTTTGTATAATGTCTGGAACATATCTGGGAGTCATAAACAGTTGCTATTAGTACTGTTTTAATAATATTGTATGAATCCTCCTTGATCCTAACAGGAAGTGACAATTTACACAAGTCGTATAGGTGTAATATGTTTTCATGTCTTTATACATAAAACCATCAGAACACCTAAAAAGAATTCGATAGCCTTAAAGCTATTTTATTTTTTAAGTTACGCTATTTCTCAGTTGCTCTTGACGTCCTTCTTATCCAAACTTCCTTCATAAATTAAACTGCAAAAGAAACTTCTTAAAGGCAGTCTTTCACTATGGATGCCACATAGCTAACAAGGGATCTGGGCATGTTTTAGGGCAAACTCTATGCATTAAAAAAATTTTTTTCATATTAATTGGAACACTGACTTACATTTTTAGTTACTATTAAAACCTACTTCATCAGATATATGTGTCCATAGAAGGGTTAGAGATAAGAATTTTCCATGTCATTGAAGAACCATGTCTTTATATCAGCATACAAAGTACATATACAGAGACTGTAGTTTTTAACATGGGAAGTCCTAAAAGTCTTTTAACTATGAAGAATAAACTGAAATTACATACGACCTTTTATTTATCTAAACATAAATAGAAGCTCACAAAGTAAAAACTTTCATTTATTTGAAAAAATCATAAAAACCTAGTTTTGGCACTTTAAAATTGATGGTGATCTACCAAGCTGCAACTCGAGGCCTAGTCCAGCAATTAATATTTCATGTTTCCCTCCTCAACAGTTCCAACCAAGAATCAAGTCCAGAACCTTTCCTCTCAGTGTCAAAGAATACAGATATCTGCCATAATTGATACTGCCTAAAATTCATAGAACATATTGTAATTTAAGTTTTTAATTAAGTCTGTTTTCCATTTCCTCCCTAAGCTTCGTCTTTTGGGCACCTAGCTGAAATGAAACTTTTGTCCAGCAGATGGCAGACAAGAGCAAATGGAAGGCCTTGGGACTTAATGTTTTGTTTTGAACTGGAAACTATTGTCTCCTCCATGTGACCATAGATGTTGATGTTATTAGGGTCAGTGGCGAAGGGTGAAGTGTCAGTTATGCAGGAAGCTGTGTTAGATTGCCAAACAGGATGGCTTGGTACCGGCTTTGCTTATAATAATTGAGTTTCAGTAGCAAATCAGCTTCCTTGGGAAAAGGCCAAAGGCTTTTCATAATTGTATTGACAACAAAATGAATATGATAAATGGTGTTCATTCAGTTGAGACAAGATTTATAGTTTTCCTTTGGGCAAGGGATGAAGAGCAAATATTTATAATAATAGTAAAATTTGTTTAAAAGTTACATTATTTGATAATTCAAAAAGCTTTATTAAAATATTTTGAAATACTTTAAGCAGTTTCAGGTGATAAAGTATAGATTCTTTTCAAAGTATTCTAGTAAAGTAAAAATGAATAAGTATATGGTAAAAAAAAAAACATGGATATGAAAGTCATTTATTCTTCCTGAAATATTGATATGTCAAACCGTCAGTGATGATTCCCACATTACTGCTGGGGAAAGTTAGTTTTGCCTTTTATCCACATAAATGTGTGTTCTTTAATTTGTTATACAGTCCTTAGCATGCAGAAGAAATGTCCTATAAGAGCATATGTCATCTTAAAGTCAAAATGCATTTTATTTATGGCGATTATTTGATAAAATGCTATTTTAGTGGTTAGCTATTTAATTCAAAAACATATCTGCAAACACTACATTAACTGCTACACGAACTGCATTGCTTATCACTGTCCTTCCAAAACCAAATTGCCTGCAACTACATAGCAAACATGTTGATAAATTGTTCTGCTCCTGGAGAATTGAAGAATCGTTGATACACTTCTTTGCCCCTATAGTGAGAACATGGCAATATAAAAACACCTTACTTTGTAGTGCATTTAGTCACCTTGTTTAGACTTTTCCCAGATCATACTTAGACTGCTAAGTGTCAAAAATCCAGACGGCAATTGGAAAAAAAAGAAAAAGGAACGTGTATGATCATCATAACCTGATCTCTAAGTCCACTGGTTTTCAGTCAGGTCATCGGTGCTGTTTATTAATATGCATAAACACATCATACAAAGACAAGACCATGTGTAGGTATATAGAAGGGTGCAAACCTCTGAATAAAACAGTCGTGGACTCCAGTCCTGGCTTCACCACTTAACCTGTGGGGCCTTGGGGAACTTCCTTACTATCTCAGCATCAGTTTTCTCTTCCACAAAACAGGGTTAATCATACCTGTCCCACAGGTATAGTGTAAAAAGTGAGTGAACTGCCATCTATAAAGGGCCCACTATAATGTCTGGCACAAAGTAAATACTCCACCACTGTTGTTAGTTCCTCTCCCTGATACGGAATGAGACAAAGGAATCCCATTTGCTCACTTATTCAGCAAATTTGGCTAAGGACTGTGCTAGGTTTCATGAGGGATGTAGATTACTTAGACTCAAATCCTACCCCAGAATGGGCTTATAATTAAATAGAGTCTGTTAGATACCTACATAAATGACTGTAATAAAATATAGAAGGTGATGAGTGCCATAACAACAGATACAAATAGAGTGATTGCATTTAGCTGGGGAATCAGAAAGGGCTCTGTCAAAGTGCAGATATTTCCCTGGATCTTACCAAACAAGTAGGATCCGAGTATTGGAACTCTGAAGTAAGAGGTTTTCGGTTAGCCTAAGCACAAGTTTTGGAAGGGGAGTAGAGAAGATGTTTTGTTGTAGGTACCACTGATTTCATGGTTAGAAATGCAGGTTGCCTGGGACCCTTGAATATGAAGCTAAGGAATTTAGACCCTTATCCCATAGATAGAATTAGGGAGTTGTTTCCATTGACTAACAAAATCAGAATTGTGTTTCAAGAAGAAAATAATCGGCACTATGTTGGACAGACTGAAATAGGGAAGAAGGTAAACCTGAAAAATCACTGTTCGGCAAGCATTGTTTTAAGTACTATGTGTCAGGCCTGAGGAATGAATAAAAGGATTGCTTTTTACCAGAATGAATAAAATGGACGGCTCTTTAGAAGCTCACAATCTAGTGGATATATAACAGCCTAATATTCACTAGTATAACATACTAATGAACAGTCAATGTGTTGTCACAAAGATGTATGCAAAGGGCCATATGAACATGTAAGAGGAAGAGATTGGCATTTTGGGCCAAAAAATAAAAAATAAAAAAAGTAGGCTTCCCAGGGAAGTGAAAGTTGGGCAAAGTGTTGGAAGCTGGATAGGCATTTGCTAGACAGGAGAGAAAGGAGAGACTTCCAGCAGCATTTGGCTTCGCGGACAAAGGTATGCGTGTTTTGCATTCATGGAGTACCTTTAAAATAAGCTGTGAACTGGCAGGCTGTTTCTCTTCTGGAATCACATCCTCACACCCCTATCTCCTAACAGGTTTAAGAAAAACTCCTTTATTGCCTTCTAGGATATTACCATCCTTCCCCTACTATGAGATCCCAGAGGGAGAGAATTACGTTTTTACTCATTTCTGTTTTCTTGGGGCCCAGCACATAGTAAGTTAGACTAATTACACGGTGGGTGGATGGATGGGTGGTTGTTGTCAAGAAGGAAACCCCATACTTCTCATTTTGTCGTATTTGGCATCTGATTAAGGCAATGTCACATCATTAATGCTTTTGATCTTTCACTTATCTGATGGAGACGTTAGGAATTCGTCAAGAAGGTTTAGGTGAAAGCAATAGGGCTGTGCCTCTTCTACCTAAGGGCTCCCACTGTCTTCCCGCTTTCCATATATACGTAGTCCTCACAGGCCCTGGAAAATTAAACTCTGAGAGCAGGTTCTGCTTCTCACCCTGTAATCTGAGTCTGGCACTCTTGCTCTGAAGCCCTTTTCACCTCCCTGCTCGGTAGGCCTCTACTCTGCTTCCCAGTAATCACTCATTTTCTCTGTGGCAGTCACCTCTGTCAGAAGCATATTAGAATTGGCCCCACTCTCATTCCACACAGAAAAGGGAGCATCCCCTCATATCCCCCGGCTTTCTCCCATAGTGCATGCAGTGTGCTCTGAAAAATAAGATGGGCCTGATGCCTTTAGGATGCCTGGCAAAGGGGCTTGCGTGTGCCTAGGGTACTCTGAGATTCCGAGATTTGGGTCTTTGCCGTTTCCTGACAAGCCTTTCCGATGCTTTCCCACCAGTGATCACTGAGTTCATGCTCAGGGGATCTCTTGGTGGAATCCTTTCTCACCTGTGCTCCTCTGGCACTGCTTCTGAATTTTGGTACTCAGAGCATCTCTACTAGATGTCAGCCACTCAGACTTGAGGATGAATTCCCCAAGAATAAAAGCCACACCTTACTTGTCTCTGGATCCCTTGCCCCTAGTGCAATAAATAGCACATAGTATCTATGATCTGTCGAAAATAGCGTATTTCCTACTACGTGGAAAAAACAGTAAGTTATCTGACAATAGCCAAGATAGAATTAATAATTAAGTTCATTAAGTTCAATTAATTTCATTTTTTTTCATTTCTATCCAACTGAAACCTTATATATACACACTTCTTATCTCCCTTCTCCACCTTATTTTCCATTGTAGTACTTTCTAACATATTATGTATGTCTTTTATTTATTTTCTGCCTTTTCTTATTAGAATATAAATTCCATGAGGGCAGGAATTTTTCAGTGTTTGGTTCACTGGTGTCTCCAGAGAGTCTAAAACAATGAATAGATAGTTCTACAATAGGCCTTCAGTAAATACTTGTTAAGTAAATTCTTTCAACATATACAAATACAATAAATACAAATACAGAGCCTTAACATTGTATATCTGGGGAGACAAAGTATTGCTTTTTGCAATTTTAGGGAGCTTGCCACTCTTAAGGGATTAGAAGCCTTATTTTCATTGGAAGAAATAAATAGATAGTTCTAATCAAATACACTATACCTCATTTTTAGGTTGACAAGTTTACAGCAACAAACATTTATTGAAATCTACTTTGCGCCAGGTCCATGTGTACAGCAAGTGCTGTACAGCTAGGTCCTGCCCTCAAGAGGCGTATAATAGAATAGGAGAGATAAAGAGATAGGAAAGCACTAGCACAGGGTACCATAGCCATACATAGGAAACATACCTAACCAAGTCTTAGGGGAGGGGGAGGCCAGGGAGGCTTCTGAGGGACAAATAGCAATAGCGGGGGGCATGGTAGGGAAGAACAGTCTGCCCTTTAGAAACTCACTTTCTAATGGGGCAGGCAGGTGACAGAAGCAAGCAACCCTAGTAGAATCTGTTGTTAAGAGACCCTGTATCGGAGTGCTCATTGAACGTAGACGAGGAAGAGATTGACGCCTTTTGACAAAAGAGAGAAAGTTTCACCATCCCAGGGGAAGTGAACTTGAGCTAGGTTGAAAGAGGAATGGGTTAAAGCAGAAGAAGCCGCATGTAGAGGAATGGAGACAAGAAAGTTGGCATCTGTGGATTTGCAGAGAATTAAGAACGACTGAACCATGGATAGGGCAGGAGTACTAAGAGATGAATCTGGAGGTATGCAGGACTGGATCTTAAAGGTCCTTGTATGCTATCCTAATGAATTTGAAATGTATTTTAAGAACAGGGGGAAAATTGTGATCTTTTTCACCATGGAGATCTCTACCCATACCACACAGGGAAGGAACGCCATAAAGTGATCCAGTTCAACACTTTCATTGAAACAGAAAGACAAGTACGTTGGAAAACATCAGAAAGAGAGAGACCTAGAGAGTAAGAAAAGAAAAAGGAAATGAAGGAGTGGCACAGTAAGAGTTTTTTTCCTGCTGCAATTTTAGGCCTTAATTTTCTATTTATGTGTCCATTTGTCAAGGAGGAGGTCAGTTATGGCTTAAAGGGCCAGTGGCGCTGAGGCAGAGTTTTCCAGATTCTGTGGTCTCCACCATTGACTTATCAGAGGCATACACTGCTTACTATTGATGAGGATGTTTGAGAATTTCTCCTTGGGTGTACATGGGACTACCTTTTAGCTGACCCTGAGTATATTAAAAGTTACCCGAAGCTTTTCTTCAAGCTAACATCTCCTGTGTTCCCTGGATCAACTGCAGTGGGACCAAGCAGAGCAAGTCAACAACTTAAAAAAGATAGATGTATGGGGGTTATTATTACTATTTCCCTCCACTTTTATGTATTTTCAAAATTTCATAATAAACAACATTTTTTTTCTTAAGTAGTTTAATGTCCAAGAAAATGGTATTAACAATTCAAATATATCTTTTTCCTCATTAAATTTCTCTTCCTTTCCTACAGTATTAAGCACAATTCTTTAAATGTGTTACTTATATGATACTTTCGGGGTGTGTCTTTTATTTATAGTGTGTACCAAGAATGAAGGAACATAATGTATGGGAGATGTTACAAAGAAGAGCAAATCATTTACAGTCCCCCCAAAAATGTACAGCTGTGCAGGTTAGGGAGAGCAATTTATAAAATTGCTATTGTATACTAAACATAGAGCAAATGTGGATTCCTTTTTTGCTTTTTAAGTGCCACTAATTTTCAGGAACAATATTTCTTTTGACCCAACTTAAGTTCTTTAACAGGCTTTTTAAAAGGTACCCCACATATCTTCCCATTCTTCAGACGACGATTGAGCGGTGGTATGGAGAGCCAGCATGTACCACTCCCATCTTAAAACTTATGGCAGAACTGATGCAAAATAGGTAAGAAGTGCACTGAGGGAGAAAAAAAAAATCGCTATTTGGCAGCATCTCCAGAGGTCAGATTTTCCTGCCTGCTATGTGTATATTCAAGGCTTAGCAAGCACTCAGGAACCAGAAGGTTTAAAATAACTGGTGAAAGCAATAGAATTTGAGACATAAGGTTGAGACCTCTTGGGAGAAAGAACGTAGTACACTTAGGTATGTGAGGTGAAAGATTACCGCCACCATTATCTAAAATAGTCAAAGGCACAAATGGAGGAAGGGCAGCTATTTTAACCGTTTCACGGCGTAACTGAATTCTGTAGACTTTTAAGGCAGGAAAGAAGTTTAGAGGTCTCCAAGTTGGGCTGCTTTCTTTATGAAGAAGGGGACTGAGTCCCAGAGCAGTTCATGGACTCATAGTTTGTCTCAGGAGCCCCCGGGATTGTCCCTGCTTTGACTCCTAAGTTATCCTTCTTCTTCTTTGGCAGTATGCATGTATGTGGATGATTTGTGTGCTCAATGTTTTCATTTAAATTGCGATGACATTAAACAGGGGTGCCTATATCTTTTCGAATTACTGTTTTCATTTGGAAGAGGGAACGTAAATGCTCAGTAGTGGAACTGCTGGATCATCTGGTAGTTCTAGTTTTAATTTTTTGAGCACCCTCCATTCCGCTTTTCACAGTGACTACACCCTTTTGCATTCCACCAACAGTGCGCAAGGGTTCCTTTTTCTCCACATTCTCACCAACACTTGTTATTTCTTGTCTTTTTGACTCTAGCCGTTGTAACAGATGTAAGCTGTAATCTCATGGTGGTTCTGAAACTAATATGACACTATATGTTAATTATACTTCAATAAAAAATTTTAAGAGTGAAAAATAGCATAAATAGCAACGACAACACTTGTTTTTTGCAGCTACAACACTTCTTAAAAATTGCCTGAAAACTTAAAGAAAAAATTGCCTAGTTGACCTTATAATTTGCACAGACCAGCAGAGATTCAAATACTCTGCATGTAAATATTAACAAAGATGTAGCTAAAAGAGAAAAACTGCAAAAAGCCAATTGGTTTTACCTCTTTAAAATGTCATTATGAATATGGCTTCACACCAAATTACCTGTCACTTAGCCATCCTATTTCATCAGCTCCTCCTTGTAAACTGCGTGTTGGAAGGGAGATATCCAGACAGGGAAGGAGTATGGACTGCAGCTGTAATTTAGCTCTCATGCTGGGTTTTTCACAGTAATAATTTAAAATCTATTAAACAAGAGGTGGGAAAAGACCTGGCAAATAAAGAAATGTGAGTATTACTCTTTTTAAGGCTGTTTGTTTTTTAAAAACTATTCTCGTATGTATCTTAGATACTGAAGGAAGGATAGCTATGTATTTCATATTAGAAATTTGGTTTTATGAAATTATGTTGCTGATATATATTGCTAATAGAACATTTAATACTAAATGAAAAAATCATTGCATTATATATTATATTTTATGCCTGCCGTAGGCAAATGATTCATATCTATCTAGCGCAATTATCATATAAGAAGTACCTAGTGAAAACCTGTAACCTCAGAAAATGTTATCTTGTCTATAATTCTCCAGAATCTAATGTGAATTATATATGTACATTTCTTTTCTTTAGTCAGTAATTGTATGCCAACAATCAAAAAGTTCACAATATTTCTAATAAGTTATCATTGCACCTTATCCTAAAGCATTTTGAAAAAGCCTGGAGAAGCAACAATTCATCATTCCTGGCAAAAGGACTTTAGCAAGTATCTTTGCTTTTTTGGTATTTCTTTGCTAGGACCTGGTTTCATATTTTTTGCTAGTCCTTTAAAAATATATACCGTTATTTCTTGAAAGCACAGACATCCGGCATATCAGAGCCAACTAAAGCCAAACTGATGTTTAAAAAACAAATATGATGTCAGAATGGCATGTCAGTGCTGTATCCTGTTCATTCTGTTCCCCCACCTGTCAGGAACCCGGGAAGTAGAATTGTTCTCGTTTAGAACTTCTGGGACTTCTTTCTCTTTATTTGAGCTATGTACAATGGACACTATAGTCTGAATGGAATTTATTGTACTTGAAATATGCTTGAAGTTTCAGATGATTCATTATGCATATGAACAGTATTAAAATTACCTAGATCTTCTATCCGTCACTTTAGAATTTGTTTTGAAAGTATGTATGGGGCACTACAGGAGATTGCAAATGTAAACCTCTGTCCAGGTATTTATATCAACTTACATATACACACCTGGATTTTGTTAATACTATCTATCAACCACTTTGCATGAAAAGAGAAGAGAAAGGTCTGCGGTATAGGATGTCAAGATATTGTTTTGATAGATAAAAGTGAATCCTTTAATCAGCAAATGAATGAAATTAACTCTTCTTAATTGTCCTAATGTCTTTATAGTGAGAAATCAGCATACATGTTTTATCAACACTTGTTTAATGGAATGGCACTTTTTTAAAAAAAGGATAATTGTAGGGGCGCCTGGATGGCTCAGTCAGTTAAGCATCTGACTCTTGGTTTCCGCCCAGGTCCTGATCTCATGGGTTGTGAGATCGAGCCTGCCTCGGGCTCTGTACTCAACAGGGTCTTGAGAGTCTTGAGAGTCTCTCCCTCTGCCCCTCCCCCACTCACGCATGCATGCACGTGCTCTCTCTCAAATAAATAAATAAATCTTTTTTAAAAAGGGATAATTGTACTGCTGCTACTTCTAATACATGAAAATGCTAGGGACTTTAAATCTACATCTGGTTTCTTTATCTACATACAGAGTCTGATTTTTTGCTGTATTTCTTAGATCCCAGCGTTTGAATTTTGATGTATCATCTCCTAATGGAATTCTTCTCTTCAGAGAAGCTAGTAAAATGATTTGCACTTATGGTGAGTATCTTTTTCCATATTTGTCTCAGCAATATAACTTTATCTCTTTGGAGAAAAGAAAGATGTTAGTTATTTTGTTCTTTTGAACCTTCATATCTGTATGAATTTGTGAAGTGGGTAATAGGAGTGCAGAAAGCCAGAGCTGTCATACTGGCATCAAAAGTAAGTAAGCAGCACGCCTTTGACTACAAATCATGCCTGACCAACTTGATGAATTTCTTTTGGATAAAATTGCAGTGTCAGTAAGCAAAGGGAATACGCTAGATAGAATACTGAAAAGTTATAGCATATTCAGAATTGCCAAAAGTTACATCAGGGAATTTGCTACTGTGAATCAAGGAATGCTTAGACCAGTATGTCACCAGCACTGAATTTTGGAAAAATATCCTGCTAAAGAGCAGTAAATATTTTATTGTAGTGAGTTTTTGGGCACTGCACTCTTAGAATCAGAGTTCTATAGTAAAGCTGGTCCTATTCAGTTATCGTCAAAAAATTCGGTTAGCGGTTACAGTTGAACCTTAAAACTACCATAAACCCTAATACTTGCCAATTCTGACAGTTTCATCAATGAAGTTCTCAACTCTCTGAGATCTTTATGGAGCCTGGCCATGGGTAAGAATCCTCTGTTCTACCCTGCCCCATGAATGCTGCTACAGGCTGGGCTGTGTGCAGTGCTCTTCTTGAGAGATGGTTCCCTGTGTCGTCTCCTCGTATTCTCTGCTTTGCCTGTTGGTTCTTACTTTTCCAAATCAGTAGCCAACTCTGAGTACATTTGGTCTCAAAAATTACCTGAAATTCTCATATTTCTTTTTGAGCACCTTGAAACAGATTTTGCAAAATTTTGTAAAGCCTCTTTGAGAGTGTGTGTGTGTGTGTGTGTGAGTGTGTGCACACATATGTATAGGAACAACCACTAAAAGTGTATCACCTTTTTAAAAGTAAAAGCCTGGTTTTTTTTGGTTTTTTTGTTTTAAAAAGCAGAAAAACAAAAATTGTTTTCACTTCAATCCAAAACCCATTCTGGGATGGTAATCTATATGCATTGTAGGCCTCTTTTAAAAATGCTTAGTCTTAATTGTGCATTTGATTTTTAGAGTTTGAGATTGTAAGTGTATGAAAACTACAGAAAGTACCTATTTAAGGCAGTAAACTTTCACTCTCCCCTATTCATCTGTACCAGCAACTACATTGTCACAATTTTTTTTATCTGTTGGAAATAGACACTTCAGAATCATATAAAGTAGAAATGCTTTGCCTCCTAAAGGTAAAAAATGGACCCCTTCTCAAATATTCTCAGTGCAGTTTGCTGTACTTCCAGTGTATATCTAACTCCTTTCATTGTTTTACCATACAAAGATAAATGTCTGGACCATTTTCCAAAATGGTATCTTAGAAAAAGCATAGTTTTGGGGACACCTGGGTGGCTTAGTTGGTTAAGCATCCAACTCTTGATATCAGCTCAGGTCTTGATCTCAGAGTCATGAATTCAAGCCCTGCATTGGGCACCACGCTGGGAATGGAGCCTACTTAAAAAAAAGAAAAAGCATAGTTTTTGAAGATTAAAAGCTCTGAGTACCAATCATAGTACCAACCCTTATCAACTCCATGACCCTCAGCCAAGACACCATACCTCTTTGTGCCTTGTTTTCTCATACACGAAATTAGGAATAATGACTACCTACTGACCTACCCGTCTACTTAGAAGAGGTGGTTAAGTGAGCTGCTCCGGGTAAAGGGCTTGGCACAGGGTGTGACATGGAATGGCATTCAGTGAACATGCGTCTCCTTGATCCAAAGCCATTCTCTTACACTCACAGAACCAGCCTTCTTTGGACAGGGCTTCACTGACCACATCACTTTTTGGTTGTACTCTTGCTGGGACCACACCGTCCTGCTTCCTTCTGCCTATAAGTGCTTCGCTTCTATTTCCTCTCTTTTAAAGAGGAAATGATGTTTCTTATTAGGAAGCAATGTATGTATAAGAAATGCTTAGTAGTTGATAGAGCTTTAAATGTAGAAATGTCAGATTTCTGTTACCAATCACAATTGTATCTTTCCTTCTTCTTTTTCTCGATCCAGTTTCTTTCACTAAGTGTAATTTTTCCTTTGGGGCTTATTCACTATTACATTAGGACTGATAAGAGCAGTGGCTTTCTCGTCCAGTGTTCCTGGACCTCTAGGGCAGAATGTATGTCCAGCAAGTGACACCAGAAACAATCTCAGAACAGTGCCAAGTCGCCAGGCTTCAGACGCTCCGCAGTCCTCTGTCACGTTGTCTGACATAGGCACAGGCATTGCAGCAAAAGCTGAGAAACAACTATGTGAGGATTACGTTGGAAGAAGAAGAAGAGGAGCAGACAGAAGGAGAGAGAGGAAGGGTGGGAAGAAAAGAAAGGAGGCAAAGCAGAAAAGAGAAAAAAACCTTCAAAGCATTCTTGAGAAGGAAAGCCGGTACGTTTTCTTACCCTAAAGAAAAACTCTAGGGGATGAAAGCAAGGCGCTGCACCTTGGCTTGGACTAATAATAATAATGGTAGCTTTTATTTTTTAATCAGCTATTACATGCCTGCTCCTACACTAGACCATTTATCATTCATTAGCCTATCAAGTCTGCAAGGTGGGTATTTTTCTGCCACTCAGTACTCATTTGGCCTTGGCTAAGTTGCTTAGCCTTTCTTGCTTCGGTTTCCTGTTAGACGGAGAAAAGAAAACCTACCTCATAAGGTGGTTACGAGGATTCAGTTCAATAGTGCATGGCAAACTCTTAGACCAGTTAGCTTCTGTGATGACTGTGATGAAGAAATCGAAGCTCATAAAGATTAAGAAACTTCCGAAAGATTGCATAGCTACCAAGTAGTTGAATTCGAGTTTCATTCAGTCTGTGTAACTTCAAACAGGAGTCCTGTAGGACTCCATAGTCCTTATTGCCACTTGGGAGTTGCCACAGGAAGATTGTGCCTTGAATATTTATGAGGAAGCACAGTTCTTTAAAATATGGTGATTTCTATCCTAAAACTTAAGGGAAACCAAAGGCTCAGGGGAAAAATGTCCTTCAACTTTGTCAGCCCTGACTTCAACACGTGCACTTTACGTAGAATAATAGAAAAATATCTTTTGCCCTTCACTGATTCCCATGCTGGCCCCCATCAGCCAAGCTGATTTGATCTATCTTCACCCCCTGTAATGCTTTATTACCCATGCTTTTCCCTCTGGAGACTGTAATATGCTCATGGAGGGAGTTCATGTGGTCACCATCCAGGAGGCTGGAAAATAAGGGAGAGCATGACTGGGAGGACACAGAAGAGCAGCATTATTTATTTCTTTGGTAAGCCAAGCGGAAGGGAGGGGAAACCCATGGAGGAAAGAGGCCAGAACATTCTGTGATCCCTTCTGTCCCCATCTTCACTGGGTTTCTTCTCTGCTCACGTCTCATGGGCAGTGTTTGGGCAGTCAATGATTGGGGTGGTGCAGAACAGGGAGGACTCTTTTTCATAAGCACCTGATTTGTTGCATATTTTGTGGAACACCTCTACCTTGCTGCTCAGTGAGACTGGCAGGAAAATAATACTTTTGATATGCTGTTTTATTTATCTGCATTCTGTCATGATATACTTTGATGTAAGTTTTTAATTTTGCTTCAGCTCTCAGCTGTTCTCGCCGTTACAGCTCAGGGTCAGCAATGAGGTTAGCCACAGTAGCACAAAACAATTTCCTGTTTGTACAGCCCAGGTAACATTTGGATGAGGATTAAATTTTACCACATTTTCTACTAGCCCAAGCCTATTATTTCTAATGAGTTTTAAATTGCTTCAAGAACATGTATTTCAAAACTTAGTGCTGTGATCCATTCAGCCTGAGCAACTTAATAAAAGAAATTTCTTTCTTAAATTTTTGGTTAAAATGTTGCATGCAGTGTAATAAATGTTATTACTTTGGAAACCGACTTCTCAGTTTTAAGAACTGGATGTTTTTTATGCTCAATTTCCATTTGTCTCATCTTTTCTTCCCTTAGCCTCTGGGTACTGGTATCTTTAGTGACATCTATTGGTTGAAGAGTGCACAGAAGGGAGAAATGGTGATTATTCTCGTAAGACTAGCCAAAATGGAACTGCTTTTATTCCTTCCTTAGATAACCTGATTTAAGAAAGCTCAGTGTGCAAAAATCTAAACTTTGAAAATGGATGGAACAGTTATGATTATTCACTACATCTAAGAATTTACATCAGGGTTCTTTAAAGCAGTATATACGCTCCAGGTGCATTTAAGGTATGACTTAATCATATGCTTAAATTGGATTTGTAAAGCAACGTACAAACCACTGTTATTTATTGTGACCTAGAAAACAAACTAGTGGTTTTCCAGCTGGATTTTGCGGAGCCCAAGAGATCTGTGTAAGTACCATCGAGGCTCTCCAGATAGCGGGGGGGAAAGCACCCTCCTGCCACCTTGACCAGAACCACCCAGCTATGTAGTTGCACTAGGTTTGTTTGTAAAGGGGATCACCTTTTGAGAAGTTTTTCTCTTAAAGACCTTGAAAATTACTGGCATGTACTATTAGAAGCATTGTAAAAATGAAGGATTATGATTGTATATTTATGTTTGAGTGATTATAAAAAGATAGTTGAAGAGTACTTTGGTCCTGAAATAACTAGAGACTTCAAAAATATCACCAGGAAATAACAGTTCTGGAAAACAAACTATTCAGGAACCACATACGTGGCCTTCTACTTGGTTGGGGACATAGAATGACAAAGTAGTACAGTAAAGCTCACAAAAGTCTTCTGAAGGCAATGGAATGATCAACCCCTTGAGGATCAAAGCACCAGGATCAGGTGGCTTACAAAAGCAAGGCCTTGAGGAACACGTTCCACAGCAGATCCACCCATGTTGGACTTGGCTCCTCTTTGCACACAAGCAGAAAATACTGAATAAGCTGTCAAGTAAGTGAGGGTGATCTCCAAACAAGTGTGTGGAGTTCAGTGGATTCTTTCACCCAGGCAG